TAGTAATGTTGGCTGGAGGAGGCCATGGTGAAAGTGGCTGATACCTGGGTTGTTCCCATCCTGCTGTTGGTACTCACTATCCCCATCTGCAGTATTCTGGCTGTTCAGCTGCCAGGCACTCTGACTGCTGAATTACATCCTCATTTGGGGTGGCAATGATCTCTGTGTGCAGCAGTCAAGTCAGCACCCCCTCATTCAGATGAGAACACGACCCAGTCCAGGGCTCACCCTCCCGTTACACCGAACTGGTCATGATGGCTCAGTCAGCAGCAGTCAGCCCCCTCCATTGAATGCAATCACCTGATAAGTCTCCATTACCATTCACCAGTACAAAGCCCTTCTTTTCCTTTCATTCTGAGCAGGTAAGGTCCCAGTTTGCTGTATGTACAGCAGTGTAGGAGGCAGGACTGCCTGCTGCTCTGCATGCTGCCTGGTTTTGAATGTGCATGTGAGGCTTCATTTCTCTGTCAGTGCACCGTTTTATTTTGGGGAGGGAAGAGAGCATCTGGGAGAAGTCGTGTGATGAAACTGCAATTGCTGCAGTGATACATCTCATGAGCATCTGCTTTCTCATGTTCACAGTGCTCCAGGCACACACAGAGCTCAGTTTTTGTGGTGTTAAAACCATTGTGGGTGGCTGTGTCACAGAAACCATGTGCACTGTGGTGTAAGCTCCTCTCTGCAGCTCAGATAGTATGGAAGATGGATTCATGAAAATTACCTAAGGAGAATTTGGCGTCATGTCCCAGAGGAAAACATCCTGCTCCTATCTCTGCTCTCCCTGGAGTGTTTTGAGGTACCTGAGCACAGAACAAGCTGTGACAAGTAACTGGAGAGGAACTGGAGATGGCTGTCACTTGTTTTAGTAGATGAACGCTGACTGCATCCCGGCTGTGTTTGCTGGTGCTGTTCTTGTCCCTGGATGCTTCTTTTTACCATAGCTTTGGGCTTTCAGCTGTTCAGTGGCCTGTCACCAAATGCCTCACTTGTGTTCTCCACAGCTTGCATGTTTTCTGTCTCTCAACATGGTGTTTTAACTCCTTAATTCCCCATGGGCTGTGACTAATCCTGGATGATCTTGCACAGAATTTATTATCTACAAACCATCAGTTATGTTTTGCTGCCATGTACACTCACGAGCATTTGTCCTTATTTCTGGGGTTTCTGATGCCCCAGATACATCAGTTAAGAGTGCATTGTTACAGTCTTTTAGGGCTGGGCTGTCAAGTGCTCAGCATCCATAGCTGTGCCTGTCTCTGGCATCTTGGAAGGTAAAAGATGGGTGTGCTGTGCCCACATCAGACTGCTTCCTCTTCTTGAGGACCTAAAGAACTTTATTTTGTATTTACATGGACCACTTGATTCCAAGCAGACAGATTGGTCCTGTTAAAAGTAGAAGAGTAGTTCAGGTACCTGCAGGCTTTGCATTCAGCTCGGCTTTTTTGTTCACTTGTGTAATTCACAAGGCTCATTCATCCCTTCTGCTCCGGAGATTATCCTTCATTTTGTCTGACCACTTCCATCCTCCTTGAATTCAGCCCTCGGTTCCATTGCAGCACTGGTTTTATCACTGATAAACTCCCATTGAGAGGCTGGTCTGAAACACTTCCCTGGAGAGCAAATGAGGGGTCTGGGGACACGTCTCTGTGCAAGGAAGTGCTTTGTTGCCTGGAAGAGTTAATTTTTCTTGGATTTGTCTTTCCAGGACGCACTAGTCCCAGAAGAATGGAAGAAATGTGGAAAAACAAAGCAAATGCCTTCAGAGCAGAGGTGAATAAATGACAGAAGGAAGAAGGCAGAAGCAGATTTTTGGGTTTTTTATTAAGTCAAAAGGTGCCAGTTACACTTTTTTAAAAAAAAAAAAAAAAGATCTGATTTTCATCATTGTGTTCATGCTCCTTCAGTGCATTTCATATGAATCCAGAAAATCCTCTTCCCTGGATCCTCCCTGCCCCTTTTTTTTCCCAGGATGTTTAAATTTCCTTTAGGAAAAAGAGGAAAAAGCAAATACACTTCGACCTTTCCCCAGATGTTTCTCCTCATCCTGAAAGGTTTGTGAATAAAGAGGAAAGAACGGTCCTGAATTGTGTCCTTTGGCTGTCTCTGAGGCTGGGATTGGAAGTTGGGCTCACATGAGAATGGAAAGAGCTTTTTCTGGTGGGCAATTTTGTGTGTGAGTCATTGCTGTGTGAAGCTTCCTGTTCTTTCATGTCCTTTCCCAGAGGGACATGTTTATTGGGGGGGGACTTCCCACTCCTGCCCATCCCTTGTGTCATGCTTTCACCTGCACTTCTCCACTAATGGCTTTTCTCTCTGGCTTCAGGGTAGTGTTGGGCTGTGCTGAGTTGCCACTGGGGCTCAGGTTGTAGCGGTCCCTGGAGCCTGGCCCGTGTGCTGTGGTGCTGCCTGCCTGGCCATACCTGACCCTGGCAGGTTTGGTGGATCCCTTAAGCAGGTTCACTTCCCTTCCAGTTCCTGGAAGTGACCTTTTCACTCCAAGTTTGATTGGGGATGTTGCATCTGTTCTGTGAAACAATGCCTGCCAGAAGTCTGCTGGTTGCCATGTGGCCACGTTTGAGTTACTCAAGCTCTAATTTCTTGAAGGTAATAGTAATTACCTTCAAGACTACTAAGAAGTGTTCAGGCAGCACACTTGGGCTTTATTGAAGGACATGCCAATAGGGATAACCAAAGCCCAAAATCTCCTCATGAGCAACTTGGGAAACACATAGGAAACTTGACAGTTACTTCCTCCCTGCCTCTTTGTCCCATGTCAGACCAGTTTCTTTAAAGGCCTTTTGGCAAAGGAACTTTATCAAATGGCTTTTGGAGATTCAGGAAAATTTATCAACCAGCAGGCATGTGGATAAAGGTGTGGAGCTGAATCCCTCAACAAACTTCACGTGTGAGGCCTGGCTGCTCTGTAAAAGCCATCTTGGCTCTTCCCTGCTGCAGTTGTTCACGCTTAGCTCACTGTTTCTCTTCTTTGTGATAGTTCCTACCTGTTTGCTCATTGTAAATGTTACACAGGATGACAAAGAGGTTTAATAAATTCCTCTGCACTCCTTCAAAACCTGATCTCCAATGTTCCATTCAAGTCCTGTGGGATTAATGGATTTAAGCAAGAAATAGTTAAGCTACTATTTACGGTGTTTTACTGTGGAGTTCCTTTTCACCGTAGTGAGCATATTTGAGCCTCATATTTTGTTTCTGCCCACTTTGTTGTTAAGTTTTTCCACTGATGCTTGGTGCTAGGACAGTTCTTTCCCTGGGCCTGTAGAGCTCTGGTACATTAGTCAAGGTGAGCACAGATGTGATGTGTCTTTTCTAAGCTGTATGTGTTGCTATTGATTTTTCTGCCTCCTTGGCTCTGCGTTAGGGAAGGTGGTTTTTATTCTTCTGGCCTTTTATTCCTCAAGACATTTTCTGGTTTGCTTTATTTGCTTTTATATTTAATCTCCCAGAGTTTGAGCATTTGTCTCCTCATTTTGATGCACGCTCAAATGAGTCCTTTTTATACCTAAATAGCTGCACTCATGCAGCTGTTTATCATGCAAACTTAGGTCTCTCCAGAGTGGTTTTGACAGATCTTTTGATTTCATTGGGAGTATCCAATCCAGTGTTTGCATACAGCTTTGCTGCCGCTTAACAGAACTTTGACTGGTTGCTACCACGTTTACTTACTGCTTTAGGAAGCTGCTTTTTTTTTCATGATGCCTTTCCTTGGAGCAAGTTAAGTCCTAATGGCTTCAAGTGTGGTAGCTGCTACTGAACACACTAGAATCATAGAATACATTTCACAAAATTTACAGCCACATTCAGAGCCAAGCCTGCTGGGGTTGTTTTTACTTTGGTGCATTCTTTGCCCAGCTCTATGTGCAGCAGAAGGATGGCCTGTGTCTCACTGACAGCTGCCTGCCTGTGGAGGGGTAACAGATTACCCACTGGTGCTCTTGCTGCTGCCACAGCTTCACTGATCTCCCTCAGCATCCCCTTTTTGTTTCCCAGTCCTGCTGGGCAGTTAGTAATACTTTCATAGTGCTGGAATTGTACAACCGGAACCATGACAATGTAAGTGGTAGGGATTTGATGCAAGTATGAACTGATTCCCATGCGTACTGAAGCTTCCCATCCTAAAATACGGTCACCTGAGGAAAAATAAGCTGGTCTCTGCTGCATGCTAGCAAGGAGTTGAGTGCAAGGAGGGATGGTTTCGGAGACCTTAATATATATTTGCATGCCACATTTTCCAACCTGACTGAAGGTATTGGTGTTGTACCTCGTGCCTTCATTAGCACAGGCACTTGTCTTCCAGTGACATCTTCCATTCTGGGCTCAGAACCAAGAAACTGAGGTTTCAACAGACAAAGAGCCATCTTCACCTGCTGTTGGACAGGTTTATTAAGAACAACTTTTATTTCTTGGTAATGAGGGGAAAGCAGCCCCCATCCTGTTGTTATTTACATTTCTGAAGACATAATTATTACACAAACAACAGAATTGGGGTGACAGAGAAGGAAGGAGCTGCATGAGAGCACTGGATTAATAAACATTTAGTTGTAACTTGCCGTGGTGTTCAGAGCCACTGGCTGACACATTAAATTAAAACAGTGCCAGCCCAATCTGATGCACAGGGATCTCCTTTAACTCTTGCAGAGCTGTAGCTTCAGTTTGGATACCTCAAGGCTGAGCAGGAACTTTAGCTGAGCATTTTAGAGTTCAGTTTTGCTGCCAAGGAGACAGACAGTAGCAGCCCACAGCGGTGTTTCTAATGGGTGGTAGACATGTGGATTCATGTCTTGCCTCCCCCTCATCCAAGCTGCGTGTGGTTGTGCCATCAGCATCTATTTAGAGGAGGCTGCAATCAGTGTACAAAGTTGCCTAAAGGGGCCTTTGGGTGGCTTCGTTAATCAGGCCCTCAAACAGAATGATGACTTGGCAGAAATTTTGCTCTGCTTTGTGCTTTGAAAACCTTAATCAGTAGACACCATGTCCCCAGGATCACAAGTGTACTGGTTGGTTTAGGTTTTGTATGTAAAGCAGCCCGAGGTTAAGCCATGGAGGTGGGGTTTTTGTCTCAGTACTCAGACCAGTATTTAGAGAGGGCAGTGAGACTCTAAAGACTGAAGTAAATGAAGCAATGCATCAGAACTGTGTTCCTTTGAACAGATCTGAGGAGCATATGCATCAGTTTCGAGCTGCTCACGCCTGGGAATGTCTTCCTTGCTGTGGAGGTTACTGTACAGTCAGGCCCAAGAGCTCTGAGTTATTCTAGACAGAAGCAGGAGGAAAAGAGAATTATGAGGAAACTTTGTGAGCACACACAAAAGTCTTTTATTTCTTTGGAGGCTTGTCCTGGCTGACCTTATTTGTGGAAAGGTAACCAAGTGAAGCATCACAAGAGAGATGCTGAAAGGCCATGTTCTCCCAGCTGAATCCATAGGCACAGTTCCTCCCCCCCAGCCCCCTTCAGTATGCACACAGGTCTCTCCATGCCCCTTTGTATTGTTGACTGGACAGGTTTAATTTCTGTGGGACAGAGAAGTAAGATGAGGTTGCTTCAATCAGAACAACTGAGGTTTGTACGAGTGAAGGTTTCCCCAGGGTTGGACTGTCTGCCAGTTCTCAGCCCCCCAGGGCTGGCAGGGTTTACAGTGTAATTCAGGGTTCAGGTGGTGACTTTCAGGAGCGAAGGGTACAGTAAACAGTAAGACTTCCCCTCCTATTCAGTGCAGGGAAAACCTGAAGTGTCCCAGGGATCTAGAGGCAGAGTCTGCTCCTGGGGGAAAGCTTTTGTCTGCCTTTAGCCAGCTTAAACACTTGGGCACACAGGCTCAGATGGCTTTACAAGGCTGCAAGCCTGTTACCCCCATCCACATGCAGCTTCACAACACTTGTGGTCTGTTCAGTGTGACAGGACTTAAGGTACTTGACAAAATTGAGTGGGAGTTTTCTCCCCTTAAATTGCAGCAAGCACCTGTTTTCATGGGCAGCAGTGGGGGTTGGTGTCTCTGAAGGGGAGGCTTCAAACAGCTTGAGCAGTGCAGCAGCAGTGTGTTATGTACAGAATTGAGCAGGGAATAGTACTCACCAGAGCATGGGGAGATGAAAAAGGGAGAAATATTTACATGAGCTTAGCCAGGGTGCTGGGAAAGCTTTCTAACTGACTGCTGGAGATGTCCTGAGGCCTGTGAAAGAAGAGAATGGGATAGTGATGGTAGAATTGGGATTGAGGGAGAAATTTGTTGCCTTTCCACTGGTATTTTACTGAAATATGGGTTTGAGAAGACAGCACAGTGATGTGGTGCAGGCTGGCTCAGGGCAGGCTGCTCCTGTCTGCACCCTACTTGCCCATGTAAGGCTGGGTTATGGGGTTAGGTAAGAGCTTTATTCTTTCCCTGAGTGTACTTATGAGATTAATCCAGCAGCTTTATATCTGGAAGCCAGACAGCAGTAAGGACCTTGTCCTATTCCTGCAGTGAGCAGATAGCAAACTGATTCCCACCTACCTCTGATTCTGCAGAATGGCTCCCAGGAAGTCCAAGAGAACCATGTGCTGGTGATAGCGACTGTCCATCAGGATGCTGTCAGACTGGCGCCTTGTCAGGAATCCATGCACCCCTTCTCCTGGGCTGCTCTCACTGCTTCTGTTATGCAAAGAGAGAAACACCTTTGTTTCAAAGATGCTTCTTAATCCCTCACTCAGAGGTTGGCTCACGCTGAGCAGCACAGTGAGTAAACCTGCTGGGTCTGAGCCTGGGGCCATTATGCTTAATTTCAGTAAGGAATTGTCAGCTCTGTTTGCTCCTGTGTTAGAACAGGGAGCAGAGCTGGCTTTCAAGTGACTAGCTGTCTTCTTTAGTGGCAAGAACTGATCTATCCAGCCAGAGCTCCCCAAATCATTGTGGAGAGGCTGTTTTCTTTCTTCAGAAAAGGCCAGGGATACCTCTTTCCTGAATGAGCATTGTAACTATTTTTTGCAGCCATCATCACTTGTCGGTATTATGGTAGAGCTCTGAGCTAATCTGACACTTTACAGACTTGGAGGAAAAGATTAATTAAGCTGCTTAATGGTAGTTGTGATTAGGGGGTCTGAGACACAGGGATGCAGGATGCCCTTTGGGGTATGGAACAGCAGGAGAGCTTGCTTCTGTTGCAGTAGAAGGTGGCTATTTCTTCTACCTGGATGAAAGAAAGTGCCTGGTGTAATAATAGAACGTCAGCCCTAGTACAGCAAAGGGCTGTGGCTTACCCGAGGCGTTTGCCAATGATGGTCTGTAAGAACTTGCGGGCAGAAATCTGCCCCAGGAACTTGCGGTAGTTGTCAGTGAATATGGCATCCGCGTGGCGCTGCGTCCTGGGGGAAAGACAAGCACAGGCTGTGCTCTCTGAGCCAGCCACAAACCTTCCCGGTGAGAAGTGGGTGGTTCACATCACAAAATGCACTGGATGGAACACTGCTGCTGTCAGGGACAGGTAACCACACCAAATGCCTTTTGGTATTGGACTGTGTTAGTGTTGGAGGGTAAAGGATTTGAGGGAGCTCAGTTCTGACATGGAGGCAGCAGACAAAATAAAATGTCTGTTAATCAGTATCCGCAATAAAACAAGTAAGGAGAAGTGCCTGAAAACCAAAGGTGAGGTCAGAAAAGCAGTGGAAAGGAGGAGGAGAACCCCAAGCTGGGAGAGGGCAGAGTTGGGGCTGGACGTTATATGCTCTGCAGCAGCACCATTACCTCCTGGGAGGGCTGTGCCTGGGACACGGTGACAGGAGCCTCCAGCAGGTCTCTAGCCTGGGGATATTCCTAAATATCCACAGCTAAGGGGAGCACAAGCTACTTGGCCTGTAGCCTTGTACTTGTAAGAATGAGTCCTCTGTGCTTCAGAGAGAAATAACCATCCTTCATCTCCTGGCAGGGGTGGAAAGGAGAGGCTCTAATGACCAGCAGATGGATTCCCAGGGTTTGGTGGATATTATGTTCCCTGCAGGAGCCTTGGGTCTGTGACCAGGCCCATCAGTACATCCCTGCTGCTGGGGGACAGCAGGATGCTGGACATTGGTGATGGTAAGGGATTGGACCCTGCTGCAGTTGCAGGGCTCAGCTGGAGCCTCGACTTTGGTGCTGGTGGGTCTAAGCAACCTTCTGGCCTGCTCCTGGGCTGGGGGAAGATCATAACTGGTGTACTCTGGCTGCAGCAAGGCTGAGACGTGAGGTACAAACCTTTTGTTAGTGGGGTCTGTTAATAAACCCTCCTCCTCCTGTTCCTCTGCTGAGGGGTTATGGCTCTGCAATGGGCTGCTGTGCTGTAGCTGGAAGTTCATGGCCTTGCCAGCAACCAGCCCTGGACTGTACCTGCAAAAGGAACCCAAGGCGTGCAGTGAGATGTGCTCCGTAGCCAGTCAGGGGTCAGTCTTCTCGACCACTGCTCCCTGTTCCGCTTTTTCTTTCTGCTTTTGCCATGCCCATCTCCTCAGTAGTGCAAGGGGTGTTTGTCACTCTCCTCAACTACAAACTGTCCTGAAGCTATTTCAGCAGTGAAAAGATGATTAATAGAGCTGCCTCAAACACACTTCCTCTTCACTGAGCTCCCAGCACCCTCAAGCAGAATTCCAGCAGTTCTAGTATTGTTATGCCATGGCTTTGCACAAGGCTAAAGCATTTTCTATGAGATGTGCAAATCCACATTATAGGACCTTGTGCTTCCATTGATTTGTACACATTGAAGTACACTAAGCAGCTGCAGAGTTCATGGATGAGAGTATCTGCAGTTCTGACTTGCAGGCACAGACTGTAGCCAGTGATGGAGCTGGAGGTGCTGCCTGCTCTGGACATAGCCAGTTTCCCTTTACAGAACCCAGCATTCAATTCTAAGACCAGCTGGGCTGAAATACTCCATCAGGCCTACTGCCTTTGGAAACCACCCCTAGGCTAGTAGTGTACCCAGAGAATTAAGCCAGGGCAAAGAAATAGGCTTCACCAACACACATACAGTTCATCTGAAGTGCTGGCAACCTTAATTTGGCACGTGCTTATTTTGCACAGAGATGAAGCAGCGTGGCCAAAACCCTCAGCAGCTTACCTGAGAGCTGGGTAGAGAGGAGAGGAGATGGAGCATGTGACTAAATGCAGGAACAGGAGCAGGGTGGCTTTATCCAGCATCTTCCACCCTTTGGAGTCACCTGAAATGCAGAGCAGTCAGTCAGTGGCAGTGAGGGGAGACCAAGTGCTGAGCTTGGTTAGCCAGACAAACCACAATAACTTTTAGTCACTGTGCTTGGGTAGAGAGGGGGACTGGACAAAACACATCCCTTCAGGAGGGCTGATCTGCTGCTGTGTTGAGGGGAGCCCCCAGCACCACTTGGTGAGGTGTCTACGCAGCCCTGAGCACCAGCTTTGGTGGAAGGTGAGATGGAATTGAGCTGTGTTTGTCTGCCTTCTGATAGACACTGCTTCATGTCCTGGGGCTGGGAATGACTCAGGACAGTGGGCTGAGGCTACACACCCTCAGGAGCTTTTGTCTCTGGAAGCGAAGGACAGGAGGAAGGTATTTCAGTGAATGCTCTTCCTGAGTTTCCATTGAAAGTGATTGATCTTTTTGCTCAAAAAAAGATTCTTTAAGAATGTGGATAGGAATCTTTAAAATACCAAGTTTCACTGTTCTCTGTCTTATTTTATAGAATAAAAGAGCAGAAAGATGTTTGATCTCCGTAAGAGAGAAGAAAAACAACCTTCCAAATGTATACCAATACTTTATTTCAAAAAGAGCAGCTTCTGAATGGAAAGGGGTTGATTGGGCTTCTAATTGCCCAAGCAGCCTTTCCAAGCAGTGGGTTTTACTGATGGTGGTGGTAGGAGGGGGCCCCTTCTGATGGAAAACATCAGCAGTGAGCTCTCTTCTCCTGCTCAGACATAGCTGCCCACTCTCCTGACTGTAAGATAACACAGTGAGGGGAAGGCTGGGGAAGGACTGGGGATCTTGCATGTGGGTCTGATCTTGGTACCATGGAAGAGAACAGAACTAGTGGCAGTGTCAGAAGTGCAGGGACAACCATGGGGAAAGGCTTTGCACTAAGAAATGGGGTTTCTTATCACAAACTCATTCTCAGCCTGGTTCCTGCTGCTTGTGCTGTCAGCCATAGGACCAGCAGCTTTCCCGTCTGTTCCCCTGGGAGCAGCACCATTGCTCCTGGCTCCAACAGAGCTTCTTGTTTGCTCATGGCTTCCTCTCATACCTGGTCTGTTTTGGAATTGCTCTGGCTGCCTCAGACAGCTGAGGAATGCTCAGAAGAAGCAAAAGAAGTGAGTCTAAGAGACCTACAGAGCTTCTGGTTTTAGTGCAGTTTTCCTGCTTGCCCTCTTTTTCATTTGAACTTGAAAAGATATCCCGCTTCTCTGCTCTCCCCTAAATAGCTCCAAAACAAATCCCAAATACAATCTTTTCACATAGAGGAGATGATCTAAAGAATCTGTTGGGGGGTACCAGGAGATTCTGGCACCTGCATCTATAGACAGTGTCAACCAGGAGATTTAATCAGTCCCGGGAAAACTGCTGTGTGAGCTGAGAAGTATCCATGTAAATGAAAACCAAGCCCTTTTTATTTCCTAGGATACAGCCCCAGTTACCACTTTCTGTACCTGGTTTCTCATGCTTGCATGCTGGGTTTTCTCCAGAACTGCTTTTTTGTCCCTTTGAGATCTTTTTGGATTTTCTTTCTCTATTATTTGATTTTTTTCTTTTTAATTGTTTCTGGCTTTGCCTTTTCCCTCCTGTCTTGTTTTGTCTTCTCTCCCTTAACTACAGTCTGCTTCTTATCCTAGCTTTTGGGGTGTTTCTGTCCCCCTTTTTCCCTTGAGAAGGAGTCTGAAATCAGGGTCCTGAACCCCTTCCCATATTGCAGAGGAGACACTGGGAACTGAAGTGTCTCCTGCAACTTGGAAGCTCTGCAAAGCCTTGTCACCTTCGCAGTTCCCCTGAGGTGAGGGACACCTTGCTTTCCATTCTGGCAGCATGTGCAAAAATTATTAATAAATAAATTGCCCTTAAGATGAAGAGCTTTTCGCACCATTCCAGCAGATAAAGCTAATAGCTTCATTCCACCCTGTGCAGCATTAACAGCAGCATTGTAGAAATGATGCCGGAGAGGTGGATAACATATCTTACTGGTTCTGAAACCCTACCTGATCACTCTTAAAAATACCACTGTGTAGATGAAATGAAGCATTTACCATGCCTGCTGTTTTATAAAGTCCAGACTTTTCTAGTATGAAATCCTACATTAGAAAAGCAGAAATCCTTTTCAGTGCCTTGCTCTGCCTCACGTTACCTACAACAATACTGTTGTGTTTTTCCTCATACTTTGGTTTGGCTCAAACACAGTTTTATCAGCAGGTAAGTAAAACACCCTTTGTTTTCCAAGGTAAAAGGAACCCACACCTGTATAGCAAAAGAGGAAAACTGTGCTACAGCCAGTGAGCATCTAACATGTTTTTACAAGGCTCATCTATATTATAATTCTATTTGTTTGCATTTATCCTATAGTTCAATTATTGTTTCGTTCTGTAACTTGTTACAAAGAAGTCTTGCATGATACAAAGGCTGTTGTACCTGCCAAAGCTGATTACTGATGCTAATTTGGTTGCATTTCAGTGTAATTTAACTGTCTCCAATTTCCATATAGCCATTATCTTGTTACATGCACGTACAGAGGCTCACGCTTACCCTTAGAAAGCAGGCGCTTCCTCGATCGGCTCCTGCCCGGATGCTTCCTTCCCCTGTTGCAAATACAACTTCTTCTCTAGAGCTGCCTCCGTGAGCCCCGCGGGGTCTTGGGGACCGGACACGTGCTGAGCAAGGAGGACACTTGGATCTCCCCCAGCTGTCCTCTGGCTGCCAGCGAGGTGCATCTCCTCCTTTTATACCTGTGCTCCCTCAGGAGTCCTGTGGGCTTCTACACGTCAGAGAATCAATTATCCTTCTGCATTTCCATGCCGTGTTTAGCATCCTCTTTCTGTGTGTGTGCAGAGAGACAGGCAGGGAGGTTGTGGGCAGAGGGTTATGTCTGTCGTTAGGGGTCATTTGAATGCTTTAGCATTCAAAGGGTGAAGAGCAAATAACAACAATAATCTGGTGGAGTGAATGGCAAACTTGCTTTGCAAGGTAAACTTCTCTTTCCCTTAGCAATTGCATTTTTTCGCTTTATTCCACAATGACAGTGAGTTAACCATTAATACTTTCTCACACTGCCTACTCAGGAGGGCTTATCTTTTTGCTGTCTTCTTTTTCTTTGATTATCAGCCTTTTCCTCCTTCTCCTTTGTTACTCGCACCTGCAGCATTAGCGGGGCAGTTCATGCTTCAGTCCCTCACAAACATCACAGCTTCACATCAAGCTCACAGAGCAGCTGGAGAACCCTGCTCTCTCCATGTGCTCTGGGAAAAGGCAGGGGTCTTCCCTGGGGTGCCACATGTGCTGGCGGCTGTTTTCAGTCCTGGAACAAGGTCTGTGAAAGCCCCATTAAAAAGAACACATAGCCATGGTGCCAAGAAGACCAGGACATTTCAGAAGAGTGAAAAATGAGATGCCAGCATGAGCTCCACCTGCCATATTTTTCATAGCAGCTTTATAAGGCCCAGAATTGATGGGGACCCAGACCTTCCTGTCTCGGGGCTTGTGTGACTCGACGCTGGGAAGAAGTTTCAGCAGGTGAGCTGACTCGTATCTGCCTTCATATGCATGCCTGTCATACCTTCACCTTGCACCAGAGCACTCATCACAACTATCAGTGGCAGAGATGGGCTGTAGGGAAGGATGGTGCTTCTGGTGTGCACATGGGTGCCTGTGTGTGCAGGGAAGCAGAAGCATTCAGCGCTGCTCTAACCCTCTGCCATTGCCCCTTTGCTGCTTGCCGAGGTGAAAAATCAGCACTGGGATTATGGCTCACTCCTTAGTGCAGCAACATCCTCCTTCCAAACCATGGGCTCTCAGTAAGCAATAACCCAACAGTTGGAAAGGCTGGAGTGAGCTCAGCACGCCAGGTGACTCTGGTGTTACGTAACAGTTGTGCACCAATGCCTTTTGGCTCTCCCCGCTGGGTGCTGCAAGGGCTCATGTTCCCTTTGGTAACAAGTCAGGACCAGGCCACTTTGCAGAGGAAACATGAAAAAAGATTGAATGGACCAAAGCAGGAGCTCGAGCTGACCCTGAACTGAGTCAGGGTCCTTCTAGTGGAATTAAACAAAACAATAATGGGAAGAGAAGCAAGAACTACTGCCTTCCTCCACCAGCCTGTTCATGGGGAGAGGATCTACCGTGCAAATTCGGCAGGTATAGCAGGTGTATCATCTACTCATGAGCACTGGAGAAGGGGATTTCTGGGTAGCACAGAAGTGGTTTTCCAGAATCCCTGTTCTGGTGCACACAGCTTTGCTCTTGTCTCTGCAGACTGCTTTTTGGAAGCAGTCTGTTCATGTTCTCTCATGTGTGAGGTTGGCTGCACCAATTTTTCAGCATGAGTTATTTTTCTTCCACTGTCTTGGTGCTACACTGGCTGAACAGATGAATCAGACCATGTTGTTAAACCAGTTGAGAGCCAACACTATTTCAAGGTATTATCCTATAGCATGGTTTTGAGCTGATTCTCTCTGTGCCTGGCCTTACACAAAGCTGCTGTGAGATACTGGGCAATATCTGTTAGATCAAGGAGAATCAGTCTGTAATGGACTTGTTTATAGCTGCCTGCTGCCCAGCTTGGATTAGGAGGGCTGTGATCCACATTCATATCTCAAATGAGCTGCTTTCAAAGAAGGCTATATAAAACTCCATCATGCTAGGGGTTTCCTTGTGCTGCCTGGGCTGGGCTCCTGTCGTGCACAGCTGCACCCAGCGAGACTCACACAACAAGCCCTCTTTATGACTTCTGATTTAATTGCAGGGGGCAGCAGAAATGTCTAAAACCCCTCCAGGCTCTGTCGGGTGTATCCAGCTTAGGAGTCCTGAAATAGCATAAACAGAGCAGCTCTTCTGTTCCCGGGATTTCCTGTCCCAGCTTCAGGCAGAACCTCTGTATCTTCCCAGGACCCAGAAGGGTCATTTGTGGAGCTCCTCCAGCAGATGCCATGAGCTCTCCCTCTGGTTAGTGAGGCTACTTCTGCTGCAGCAGAAACTGCTGTGATCACCATTACTGCCAGTATTCAGCCTCTGCTTGAGTCCCACAGTGGGTGCTCTGGCTGCTGCTGTCTCTGCATGAAGGTGCTACAGACTGTGATAGGATCCAGTGCTGTTTGGATCTGGTTTTGCATCCATCCATTCATGTTGCAGTGTGTATTTGAGCTGGCAGCTATGGTTTTGGTTCTCATGGTCCCTACCACAGCTGGTTTTGGTAGCATCCACTGGCTCCCCAAACACAGGTATGTAACTCAAATTACCTCCCAGGTTAGCATCACACAGTGGATAACTGTCTATTTGCCCTCTAAATCCAAGTCCTCACTGAGTGCAAGCCCAGTGAAGTCTACAGCCAGGTACAAGCTGCCATAGGTACCTTCTGCTGCTGGATCACACATCCATTCAGACCTAACATCTGTAGGGTCCTTGGGTGAAGCGCACACCAGCTCCTTTTATTTCAGTGTCAATCCTTTGCTGACAAAGAACAGTGTTAGGATCCTGCAGAATTTCCCAGATATTGATTTCCTCTTAGCTTTACCTCCTCCGGTCCTCATGCCATGATTTAAAAAACGGCCCCTGTCTATTCCAGGTGCAGAACGTAGTGCTTCAGATAAGATGAGCAGGATGTGAAATGGTGCTGCTTACTTTGTGAGATAGAACTAACGACAGTAAAAAGTAAACCATCAATTGGCAAAAAAACTATCCCATATTCTCAGCTATCAAAAGCTTTTCTGCACTTCCCCAAAATGGCACAGATGGTGGCTGTTGGTCCCCAGTTTCTCTAATCTCCACCACTCCTGATAGAGCCCCACAGAGCTGTTCTCTCTGGTTTTCTTTATGTGAGAGATGTAGTGGTGACTAACTTACCACAAATGCTTAGTGGTAAATTAAACAGAGCTGCCTTAGAAGTTACACTTTTGCCTAGATTTGCCATCTTATTTGGTTCTAATATCCCAAGTGGCAGAACTAAGGCATAAATAAGTTCATCATCAATCATTTGATTACATGGTCCATTACCAGTGCATACACAGGAGCTTCCATTCCTAGGTTTGCAATCACTTTTGCCCCATCCTTGGCAGTGTTCAAGGACGAGGTTGGACAGGGCTTGGAGCAGCCTGGTCTAGTGCAAGGTGTCCCTGCCTGTGGCAGGAGTTCGGAACTGGATGAACTTTAAGGCCCCTTCCAACTCAAACCAGTCTCTGATTCCATGATTTCTTTGGAAATATGAGAAAGACAGGATTTGTCCCATGTTGCCAATTTCTTCTAAGGAAAAAGCAGAGAACCCAAAATTTAAACCCAGCAGGTGAGACTTGCTGTTAAGAAACCATATAAGACTTGGTTTCTTCACCTTGGCAGGATAAAGTATGGGGATTTGGATCTTCAGATCCTCCTGACTCAACCCTTTGAAGACCAGTAGATTTCCAGGTGAGACTTTTCCCTTGAGGAATTCGGATTGGTAGGAAGCTGAATACGAACATTTATCAAAATAATCTCAAGTAGGGAGTCCCTCTGGATGAGTGGGAAGCATGGGATCAGATTTGAAATAGGCAAAATCAGTAATTTAAAATGTGCAAGAAGTGCTGTTAGAAAGGACTGTCTCATAGTGCTTAAAGCCTGCTTGAAAAGCCTACTTCAGCTTCAAACGTTTATGTAGCACTGAGAGTACAATGGAACAAATAGCACCAGCCTACGAGGTGTGTATCTGTCAGGAGGCTGAGGAGCTCTGGGGGTGAGATCCATTGATAGAGCTCGTACCTGTCTGGTGCTGTTTATTTCCTAGCAGAGCTGCTGGAGCGTTTCAGCATCACCCAAATGAAGTGCCAAGACTTTCAGCCAGACATCAGCATGTGACACTCAGCTGTAGGCTCAAGAGTTACTGGTTCCTGAATTTCTGGCTCTCTACATACCACCTCCTTCCTCTTCCAAACCCAGCTGCCAGAGCTCAGATGCCAGAAGTGAATCTCAGTAATTAAGGAGTTTTTCTTTGGTCTTACCACTCTCATTTCAGTTAGGAAAGGAGCTAGAAGGTTACACACAGCACATTACAGCCAGAGAGAGCCAGCCTCAGTCCTAACACTGAGACCTTTGGGATGGAGAAGCAGAGTTAAGGCAGGGTCTGTGAACACCCACTCTCTGCTCAAAGGGCTGTAGTGACTGGCCCAGCACCACCACTTCCCACCTGGGTGTTGGTCTGTGTGTTTTCTGTCACTTGGTTTCCAGTCAGAATCCAAATGCTGCTGTTACTGCTCATCTTAGGAAAGCAATTTGAAAGCTGATAAAACATAGAATTTAATGAGATGTTTTACTGGTACCAAGAAAGTAAAATGTTGGTTATGGAGAGGGAATGAGGAAGTCCACGTTTCCAGTAAGGGCTGAAAAGTGAAAGCAGTTGTAATTAATTTTTTCCTGGCTGAATAAAATGCAACCTGAGGATGAAAAGAGTGGTGCATGAGGATGTGGTGTACACGTTTAAGAAATGGTAACAAATAGGTCTCACTGCAAAGACATGCAGGAAACACTGCAGTGCAAATGAAAGGAGAACTGTAGGAAGAACTAAAAAAGCTAAGGATGATTTGGATGTGGAGAAACACTTCATGCCTGAGCTCTGTCTCTGCTTAGAATTGAGTGCTGACAAAATGGACATTTCTGCTTGTTGAATCAATTTGAGCTTTGAAACCCACTCACATCTCGTGGGCTTTGGAAAAATATCTTCTATTTTATATATGTCTATATATATATAAATAGCTTCCTTTTTAATCATTCCCCAGTCAGCTGAATGGAATGGGGCAGTGAGGTGCTGGTGACAGGCAGCTGTAGCGGGCTAATGGCACCACCTGCTTGCGGTCGGAAGGGTGAGTGTCTCCTGAGCAGAGCTGGTGTTGCTGGATTCCACAGCCTCAGGGGCGGGATAGCAGCAGAGGGAATGGGCAGGAGCTGCATCAGATCTGCAAGCCTCACTTACCTCTTCGTACTTAGAGTAAGTAGTGCTGTTTCTGTTGGGGGAGAGGAGGAGAATGAAGGAAATGTACCGGATCAGTTGCAACCCAAGTGTGTATTTTCCCCTTGGTGGGCAAACATCAAAGTGGGAGGATTGGAGCCCATGAGAAGGTGTGTGGGCAGCAGCACCACCAAATTCAGTGTATTGGGAGGAATTTAATACTGAGAGGATCTCTCCTGACATTCACAATACATTCAGTATCTTTGTGTCCTCAACAGCCAGTGTTTGGGAGCGGAAAGGGCAGAAATGACCACCTTCCCTGAGTCTCTGCATTCAGCCCTCACCCCATGCAGCCGCTCACCAGGGGCAGTGAAAGCTCTGGTAATTATTTAAGAGTCATTTTCTCTTTAGGTTTTTTTATGCTAGAAGAATTTCATTGTCCAGGTGTCTCTGGCCTCTGCAGCTCGCAGCCGGGTGCGTTCTCCAGTTGTCTGTAAAGTCTTCTGCACTAAAAAGGATGAAAGGTTTTTAATCCAATTGCTCAAAACCGTTGAAATAGCTTCATTAATACCCATTTAATTCAAATGCTTGGTAACAGCCTAGATAATCCTTTCATTTCAAATGCCATACCTCACTCCCTCCAGTAGATAAGCAACCGATTAGGTTTTCCCCAGAGTATTTAGGCTCTCTGATAGTGAAGCTCTGCAGCAAAACTAACCTGGCACTCCTGACGCTTTAGGGTTAGGAAAAGAGCAAAACAAATCACATTCTTTAAATACCACAAACGAGCCAAACAGAGCACAAGCTAATTTTCCATCTTATCGAGACATCTCCATTTCAGAGCTGGGTACTGAATCGGAATATTAAAAACAAACTAAATCCCTGGCCAAAAGCAAAGCCAGAAGCGTGTGGCTTAATTATTACTGCCAGAGCGCTTCAAGGGAGCACATCAAAACCTTGTGGATAAAGAGAAACCTGCCAGGAGAGAAAGGCCACGCTATTGATGGTGGGGATTAAGGAGCTCGCGCTGATTTAGGGGGTGAGTACACGGACCCTGGGGTGCTTGGCTGCTGTGGGGACCCCCCGGTGCCGGCACCCCCAGGAGTCCCCAGCCGGGGCGGGTGCAGCCGAGCGGCCCCGGGGGCCTTGGGCAGGAACCGAGCGGCGGAGCCTCCCCGCAGGCCGCCCGTAGCAACGCGGCGCCCCGGGAGGTTGCTAGGGGCGGGGAGCGCTTCCGGCTGGGCGGGGATCACTTCCGGCACGGTGAGGCCTGGCCGAGCGGGGCGGTGAGCGGGCAGGCAGCGGGAGGGGGGACCGGGGATGGGGTCCGGGGGCTGTAGCGGGGCTCGGAGCGGCGGGGCTGCTGGAAGGGGCTCTGCTGGAGCGCTGCCCCAGGGGGTCCTCGCCGGCTCCGTAGCGGCCGCTCTTCGTGCTGCAGCCGGGCTGGTTGCGGCAGAGCGCGGTGCCGTGGGGAAGGGAGGACGAGCTGTGTGTGCCCTGCGCTGAGGCTGCACGGCTGCTTCTCCTTTCGGACCCCCGTATGCCTGGGGACAGTGGGCCCGTGAGCCTGCAGCCGGGCTGCTCAGCCCCGGTGATGGCTGTTTATAGCGGTGCTGAGCGCACGCAGATACCCCTGAAGGCAGTATTGGCCAGTCTCCATCCTAGCACCTACTAAGTCGTTTCTTGCCTTATCCTTTGACAGCAGCTTTTATCTTCTGCGCCAATACCGTTGCTCTTTTTTCCACCCCAATAGGAAGCTAATGCCTATCACTTAAAGTGATTCTATAGCTTTGTCCTACAGTGATTATTTATATAGTACTAGGTCTTGAAGATGCCAGCTGGGAAACACAGAACAGCAAAAAGAAAGGTTTGAGTGTGTCCTGGCTTCATTGAGGTGGCTGGTTTATGGCCCTGACGCTGAAAACACACAGTTATATATGATAGGGTCTGATCCTGTGTCTAGGGGGATGGCTGCATCTTCAGTGGTGGCACTGAGGAAGAGCACAAACCTGTAGCCCTAAGTAGCCTCTCACTGGTCCTGTGGTACAGCTCTGGCTTTGCCTGAGGATAGAACCCTTTTGTGCAGGGGTAGCTGTTTGCAGTAAAATCCTGATAGAGGCAAATAGTCAAAATCAGTTCCCATAACGAAGTGCACGTGTTTGTGACCTATTTCTGCTGTGATGTTCCAGCAAGATGGCTAAGCCTGCGGGGAGAGGTGGTAGCTGCTGTGAGACCGGATAAGTAAGCTGGAGGGGTGAGGGGAAAGTGTCTTCCCAGGGTCTGACATAGGAGTACCCGTCTTTAAATGCAGTTTAAGAACAGCTACTTTAAGTGTAGCCATGTTAATAGGTGAGGTGGTCTGAGGAAAAGGTGGTTGATAACCTGTGAACAAGAAGCAGCAGCCAAGGAAGAGGTGATAAAACTGTTAGCCTCACGGGAACAGGGAGGAAAACTCCATTGTCATCCAGGGACCTGCTGGATGAGCTGTAAGGTACAGTGCAAGGACGTTGTGCTTGCAGTGAGGAAACCCTGTGCAAGCTTCTGTGTATGGTGAGAAAGGCTGAACCCTGCTTCCCCCAGGTTCAGCTTTGGCCTGCTCATGTATGTAAGCTTCAGCCTCCTTGCCTGGGCAGGTTTGGGTGCTGTGTTAACCACAGGCGTTTTAAAACAGGGAAGAATTTTGCAAACATTACTTTAGGTCCACTGATAGGTCGGAATGGGGGTTACCTGCTGTGGCTCCTGTGCAAGCAAGGACACTCTATGACTAGTTGGAGCACGATGTCAGGTCCTCTGAGCATATTTCATGGGGTAATGCTTAAAATGGTAGTGGCAGCTGCTGCCAGCCTGCTTGAGAGCTCCTGATGCTGGTCACGTCACCTGGGATTTGTTAGAGAATTACTAATACCCTCAAGGGAAGTGAAACAGAAAAGGGGAAAGGAGGAGGAGACTTGCAGAAGATGAGGATTATTTGTTTTCACTGTATCAGTTTCTTGCTTATTTTTGTGTGCTCTGTTTCCGGTGTATGAATCATGAATCTCAGTAGGAGTTTGTCCTGAGAAAGCTCCAGGTGAGGAGTGAAGCCACATCCCTTCCTGTGCTGTTTGAGGAAGGGGGTGGGCAAGAATAACATTTTCAAGAGATAGCCCCATAAATAACATTGTGATAAAATGCAGTTCAAGGGTGAAGTTTCCCATGGTTCTGTTTCTTGCTGAGGAGCTGCTGCCTTAGTGGATTGGAGGAGAGGGCCTTTTTAACTTTAAAAGCATTTAGGGATGAGCCATGTTCGTGCTTTGTTGACACTGTGGTATGTCCTGTGCAGCCTCTGGGGCTGTGTTGGGACTTGCCAAGTCTGAGTGGTCCAGTGTGTGTTGTGGCTTCCTGCACAGGTCCCACATGGCTTTTGCTTACTGAGTTTTAATCAGAATTTGAGGGGAAAAGAAAACAACCCTTTCACTGAAGACCAGACCTGAAGGGGCCATGAAAGGTCATTTGTTCTTAGTGCCTGATTCAGAGGCAGGATTATATACACTCACACCCCATCCCAGGCGAAGGCTTATCTGCTCTGCTCCTCTGAATCATCAGTAACTGGGGTTCCACAGCCTCTGTTTTCCTGGGGCTGCAGCTCATGGAGTTTGGAATTTCCCCTCTCTTTCAAAACTCAAAATAATATCCCACATTTCAGATGACTTAAAATTATTTCTTGTAATTTATATACCACTCCTTTTAGTATGTTATGACATTTGCCAAATGACACTTGCCTTTTATGCAATAGCATTGAATTGTCTTAAATTTATCAACTATAACTTTACTCAGATTGTAGTCTAAGTTTAGCATCTTTCTGAACTAGGTCACATCAGCAGAGTGTAGAAATCTCCTCCTAGGCTGAGAAATACAGAGCCTGCTTTGGAGATAATTTCTAGGAGGCAGATCACCACCATTCAGCTGAAACATTCACACAGCACAATCTCACACCCAAGCTTTCGTAATACAGAGAATTGTAAGTATCAGTAAGTAGTGCTGATTCAGTAAGTATGCACCAGTCTCATACAGGTCAGGAGAATTGATTCAGACAGTAATCACAGCTGAGCTCTGATGGCATCTCGGACTAACCGAACTTCCCTTTTGGGACTTTCTGTGGTGTGCTCCAGCAATTCTGGCAGGAGAGTTCTCCCTTAATGTAGAAAGCCATTACTCATTCATAGAATGAATTGACAGCTCCATTAACAAAAGATAAAGGAAGGAAGAAAGGATGGTCCTGGGGCTGAGAAACTAGCCTGGGACACAGGAGGTCAATGTTTAACTCTGCCACAAACTACCTGTGTGACCATCTCAAGGTATATGGGGCTTAGTGTAACTGGCCATTAAAACCATGCCTAACTTTAAATACATAACTCATCCTCTGTCTTCAACAGATCTACCTTCTGTGTGGTTTATTTAGGTAGCAGTTGGCTTTGTACACTATCTAAACCAACAAGGCTGTGACCACATATACAGTGTAATAGTCATCTTGCATGAAAGCCAGGGAGAATCTATTCTTCTTAAGCTCTTCCTTTGCTGTTTCGTGAGCATTGTTTATATTGTGTTTGTCTTCCCCTCACTTGCAAATGAACTGATAGTAGTATTGGTGCACTATTTTCATAGGCAGGTGGTAAAAGAGAAGCATCCAAATAAAAGGTAACACTTGTTTCCCTCTTTCTTATTGGTTCTGTAGATCAAGTGTATCTTCAACAAACCTGCATGAGAGAGTCCATCATTTTTTGATAATGGAAAGTGAATACCTGAAGACATGATGCAAATAATTGCGCTTTTTTTTCCCCTCCTTGTAGTAACCAATCTTCTTGAGAGCATTAGAGAAGAAGGGTGCACCCACGATGGCTGCTGAGTTGGATTTCTCCCCACCTGAAATCCCTGAGCCCACGTTTATGGAGAATGTGCTACGCTACGGACTCTTCTTTGGAGCCATTTTCCAGCTTATCTGTGTGCTGGCCATAATCCTGCCAGTGTCCAAATCCCATAAGACAGTAAGCAGTGCTCTTTAATACTGATGGGCAGAGTTGGAGAAAGTAGGATGGGAGGCAACTTTGAGTAGCTAACGGAGACACAACGGTCTGCCCCTGGGATTGATGACAGTTTCATTGTTCTCTTTCCTTCCTTCCAGCTTTCCCACCTTCGGCTTTTGTCTTGTGATTTACCACCATACTAGAAAGTCAGGAACAAATACCTGAGCCAGGGGCTCTCTTAAGTATCAGTGAAAAAAGTGACCTGAAGCACTGGCAAGGTGTGCTAAATGTACATGATGTTCCTGACTGTGCAGGAAGTGGCTTTAGTCCCAACACCAGATTGTCCACCTGCTGATTTGCTTTATTAATTGCCAGAGTTTCCCCTTCGCAGGACTTGCCTTTCAGGAAATGACTTTGGGCTCTAGTTTGTATGAAGTTATTGGGAACAAGATACAGGTGATATTTCTAGTATATTCTAAGATATGCAAGGTATCTAAGATACGTAAGAAGGGCGTGGGCCTGCTCAAGGGTGTCCAGAGGGGGTCACGAAGATGCTTTGAAGACTGGAGCAGCTCTGCTCTGGGGACAGGCTGGTCGAGCTGTGCTTGTTCAGCCTGGAGAAGAGAAGGCTCTGGGGAGACCTTATCGCAGCTCCAGTGACTAAAGGGACTACAAGAAACCTGGAGAGGAGCTTTGGACAAGGGCATGTAGGGACAGGGCAAGGGGAATGGCTGTAACCTACCAGAGGGGA